GTTGAATTTGCATTTCGCTACGGCGCCCAACTAATAAATTTGTATGTCAATAGAATGAAGGAGGCCAAGACGGAGTCGCTGAATGGCCAGGTGAGCGAGCCTCGAACTGCGCAAGGACATTGCCGCTGCGAGAAGAAGTAGAAGAAGAAGAAGAAGCAGCAGGGCACATTCATATCCAAAACAAATTCTAAGTATTGTAATTCGAAATTTTTCAAAGCAAATAAAAGCAGTCGAGTTTTAACACTCGCGCCAAACAGTACGCAGCAGGCGCGTTGGCCAAAAAATAAATAAAATAAACAAAAAACAAATATTCGCACATATAAAAGAAAACTGTGCATGGTATATATATTTGTGAGTGTCGTTTTTTGAAAGAAAAATACAAAACGAATAGCTCCCGCTGCGACGAGCTGCGTATCCTTGCGAAGAGCTCAAAGTGCAAAGTGCATTAGCCTGTACGTGGCCAAGTTATTGCCCTCTGGCTAGGGGAAAATCGATAAAATTGCAGTGTACAGTTGTTGTTTATGGCCAACTGCAACAATTGATAATAAGTCTGTGGGGCAACAGTGCCTAATGTGCGCCTTGCCCACACTGAGAGAAAATCGACGCTAGCATTTTGTGCACAAATCAACTGAAGATTGAAACTTCATATGCTTAGATGAAAAAGTTATTAAATGCAAAGTAAATTGTCTGCTTTACTCTTTATTCAAACACTCAAATTCTTGTTATAAGAGATTTAATGCTTAAATCAAGCTTAACCGAGGCTGGCATTTTAGCCAAAATTGTCAGTGTTACGAATGATTCGAACCTTTACCTCACTCTTAGATCCGATTCCATACAAGTTTTAAACTATAATTCGCCCTGTTTTGTAGCTTAAAATTAAATTTTGAAGTTTATTTTATTTTAGTATTTTTTATGGAAATTGTTTAAGTGTTGAACAAATAAATGGTTACAACAATATTTTCAAATTTCAAACAAAAAAGAAAAGACTAAGGCTCAGTTTATAGAAAAAAATTCAATAAGCATTTCGGGATCGAACCAGTTCGATCAAAGAAGAGTTTTCGCTAAGTGTACACGGAGTGATAAAATCTCAACTGCATTGCCCCGTTTTGGAAAAACTTTGGCAACAAAAATCAATTGGCTGTTCGCAAAGTTTGTTAACATTTGCATTTTGCATTTGGCCAAATGCGAGTAAATTCTAATTGAAAAGAAAGGCGCGCGCTTAGAGGGTCACAAGTTTCTTCTGTTTCTTGTTTCTGTTTGTTTTTTTTTTTGTATGCCACAGCAGGGCAGGCAAGTGCGCAGTCATTGTGGCATCGAGTATACGTACCATGTGCCCCGACAATTGTTGATAATCAATTTCGCAAGTCTGTGCGGCAGTTGACATGAAAAACCTACTCTGTGGAATTTTTGCTGTGCAACGGCGGCCCAAACAAATCATTTGTGCCACTAATTTGCGGCTGCTTGTTGTTGTTTTTTTTTTCTTTTTGGGGGTCTGCAGCCGCGTGGCGCCTCGCGCACAGTTGTTGCCGCTCAGTTGTGACTTTGCACGTGCGAAGGCCACGACGCGGCAGCAGCCACAACTAACTGACTTAATATATAGTCTTAAGTGTTGCGTAGGGTTTCTAGTGCAATTTGATCGATTTAAGGCAAAACTTTTTGGCCTCTGCCCAAAGTTAATTGCCAGGTAGTGCCGAGAACCAGTTGCAAAAACTAAAACTAAAACTAAAATAAAAATCAAAATCAAAATCAAAGCCTGAACCCCAACACATTGACATGAGTGAAACCGATGCGGTGAGTCTTAACACTTTATTGGCCTTATTTGCATTCGCTTTCTGCACTTATCATAAAAATGTACTCAATGCTTAAGAACTGCACGCCAAGAGCACCAAAAACGCAAAACAAATGTATGCATAGATAACAAATCAAGAGGCAATTTGTGTTGCTCTTGTATCATTTTTACAAGGAGCCCTGTTCCTAACTTAAAAAACGCCACAATTTCGCTCTTTTTGTAACTGTTTATTATTTTTAATTTTTTAATACTAACATCCTTTTCAACTGAGATGGGATTATAAATTATGCAGAATACTAGCCCGTTTAGCTTGGCATTAAATAGCCTTTGACTCCACTTAAGAAAAATTTTGAAATTCAATTTATACAAGAGACATCAAAGACATTCTCCAAATTGATATAATTGAAATATTTTTGTTCGTTAGAAATATTTTTCATATTTTTTCCCGAAATCCAACAATATGAATAAGCAATGGAGGCATACGCTGTACTATTTAATTTTCGTTAAATAAAATTATATAACAAGTGAATATAATATCAAATCTAAAAAATAATAAACCTGCTCAACAAAAAAAAGAAAATAAATAAAAACGCATAAAAAAAAAATTTGTTAACAATATCTTTTTGACTAAAATTAATTACTTTGGACGTGAGTTTACTTAAGCCACTTTATTTATAAACATATATAAGGTTTTTATTTTAGCTTTAATATAACACCAAGTTCGTCGAACGTTTCAATGCTACTTTCCAGAGCCCATAAGCTTGTGGAGTCTAATGAAGAAAAAAGGACTGAAGCCCAAAATAAATAAAAATAAAAACCTAAAAATCATATGTTAAAAATTTATATCAGTTATTATGCTTTTGTTTCTTTTCATTTTTTTTAAATAAAAGTTAAAATTGAGCTATAAAATCTTAAGTTTTTTGAAATTTATTGCAAAAAATAAATAAATAATATATATATGCTAGAAAATATGTTATTGTTTGTTGAAAATATTTTTAGTTGTTGTAAGTTTTATTTGAGGATACATATTTAATATATGTATATAGAAATTGGAGGATTTTGACATTGTTTCAAACTTTAAGGCCCTTCTTAATATATGTTATTAGTCTTTGTATATTGTACATTGAAATTAAGTTGAGTTTACGGCGAGTTGAAAATTTGTGATCCATGTTGGGATTAATTTTAAATATATATTTAAATTAAGCTGAATTCGAAATTCAGAGCTGCTCACAATGTATGCGATTATTTTTTTTACACATATTGAACTTAAATTGAATTTGAGGCGATTTCAAAATTGGGAATCCGACATACGTGATTAATAATATTTCTACACATTATTGTATTGACCTTGGGAATCGGTTTGTAGCATGCCACCAGGCCAGACAGGTCGCAACAATTTCTGTGGCAACCAAATATTCGAAAGAACCCTTTGGAAAACCAAACAAAATCAAACAACAATTTGGCCAATGGCGCATTGGGGCTTCATTTTTATTTGGTTGGGCTGGCTTGGTAATTCGCTTGGTCTTAGAATTGTCGAACTTTTGTTGAATCAATAAGCGACAGGGCAAACGATTTGGGTCACATTCCAAACAGCGAGCGGAATTCATGACAAATTTGCCTAATGGTAACCCAAAACTCCCTCCAAAAAAAAAAACCGAAATACCAAAACAATAAACTGTAAACAAATGCAAAGAAGCCATCAAAATTGAGAGCTCCACTCGATAACCGACAAAATATATTGAAATACGTACACCCACACCCACGCACACCCACAACCACCCACGAACACCCACTCACTGGCTTACCGTACATGCAGGCACGTATGCAAATGATGTGTTGCTGGCTCTCTGCTGCCCCACCTCCTTCGGGCTGGGGCTGAGCGGCAGCCAGGTATCGGATTACCCGACACTTGCACATTTCTGCACCGACACCGCAGGCGTTAGGTTCAGGCTCAGGTCGCACCGCTTCTTTTGAAAGTCTGCAGAATGTACAGCACAAACGCGACCAACCAGCTGGAGCGCTCCAATTCCCAAGCTGCTCCAACTACAAGTTTCTCAAATCGCGAGGGACGCTCTGCAGCCGAGCACACAGAGCCTGGCAATCTGACTCAGGAACAGCTGCCCGCCACGGACAACGTCCAACGCTCCTATGTGGAGCAGCGTGCCCTTCCCACTTCCGACTATTCCGCGCACTCCCAGCTAGAACAGTCCAATCTCAACACAGAGCGCTTCATGCAGCAGCGGGCGCCGCCACCTAATCCAGAGTATAACAGACCCCGAGCCAGCTTGGAGCGCACCGATTACACCGCTAAAGAACGCACCAGTACTACCACCAACAAGAACAGCAACAATTACACCGATTATGTGCTCAAGGAGCGATCCAATCCCAACTATGTTTTGCCATCGCAGATGCGTCCAGCTGCGGGCCCACCACAGCACCGTCCGCCCTTTGCGGGCTCACGTCCCATGGTGGGCGTGGGGCCGCGTCCACCGCTGCCGCCCAATATGACGGGCAGGCCCATGCCGCCGCCGCTGCGCCCAACCGACAGCAAGAGCAACTTGCTCATGGGTCCGCCACCACCAGCCATGCGGCCGGGCATGCCGCCCGCGCGTATGCCCAACCAGGGCGGACCACTTAGCCCACCAGGGCAGGGCGGGCCCAGGCCGCAGAGCGGATTTCCCTGGTCGGCGGGGGGCATGCCGCCGCCACCGGGCGCACGTCCGCCACAGAACATGACGCGACCGCCGCCGCCCACATTTGCGCGTCCCATGCCAGGGCAGCCGCTGCAGGCGCCCTTCCGACCGCCGCTCTACAACCAGCAGCAGCAGCACCAGCAGCAATTGCAACAGCTGCAGCAGCAACAACAATTGCAGCAGCCGCAGCAACAGCAGCATCAGCCACGCCCACCCTCAGCTAGCAGCGTGCACAATGAGGATGACGATGACGTCATCATGGGTCAGGCCTTAACCCCGCTCAAAAGCTACAGCATGAAGGCTGACCCCATGGGCTCCCCACTGCTAGAGGAAACAGAGCCCCCATTTGAAGCCACATCGCCAACAGATGCATTGCCCAAGTCACAGGGCGGTTACAGTAAGCACTAGTGGGCGTGTCCATTAATGAAGCCATTTCCCAAACACAAAAACAACAAAAATCTTGAGTGGAAGCTCGAAGGTGAAGCATAATTAATTTGATTCCCATTATATATTTGCAGAGGGTGACAATGACAGCGGCGTGGATGAGTCCACTCAGGAGAAGGTGAGTTTCCGTTCCATACAAAAACCAATCAAATAACGGGTTGTTGTTAGATAGTTAAATGTCTGGTGGTTCGTGTAGTTCATTAATTTTTGGTGCGCTGCTCTTAATTGAGAGGAAATTAGCTGGCAGCAAATTAATTTAATTCCGTTGACCGCCGAACTGCGTCGCCCACTGCGTCTGCAGCTAGTTATACTCTTGCCGAGGGTATAACAAAAGTGTCGCGAAGAAAAAAATATATATATTCGTGATCAGTAAAAACAGCCGAGTCGATATTTTCAGAATTGTTAACAATTCACGCGATTTTAAGGGAAACTTGATGAAAATTTTGCATAAATCTATATTTGCTTTGCAAGCAGAGTATATGTCTAATTCGACTAGATCGTATCACTATATAGTATAGTTGCATTAAAACTGATCAATCAAAATAAAAGTTTTTATATGAACAATTAGTTTGCTTGTCATGATCTCAACTAACCTCGGCGTTTAGTAGTAGATACATATATATACATTAGTTAAGTTAAGTTAAGATATCATCACACACGTGATATTAATATATGAGTAAAATGTTGTTAATATCGGCCTATTACATCAAAAACCTCTATCAATCGGTAAATCAGTTTCAGCACAAATGTGCCAAAATGTTGCAATCTCCCTTTATGTAATCAACATCCTTATATTTAAGGGTATGCAATCTTCGATGAATCGTAATCAACTATTTTTCTATTGTTCTTCATATCGTTATTTTTGCTGTGTTCACAAATCATAAATATCTGTAAATGGCAGCCGATTGCCGCCTTAACAGCGACCTCTCCATGCTCCATTAGACAGCGCCAGTTGCTGCTCCAGAGCTCTCACAGAGCTCTCGTTGCTCCTCATAGCTCAAAGTTCGCGGTTCGTGTGCCGACGCCAAAGTTCAGACCAAGTTGTGGCTTTACAGACGTCAGTTGGCGCAACGGAATAACCCAAAAGATACCTCAATTTGCATATATATTTATGTCAATATAGATATATATATATATATATATATATATATATGTGTGCGTGTATTATCGTCTTGTGACTAGGTCCAGAACTTTACAGGTGCGCAGTGTCGAAATCAACAAAACTTAACACAGTCAAGCCACACTAAAACGAAAATAACTAAATTGTTCGCCCGATAGTGTTTCGATATTGAGAACATTTTGCACATTCGCCGATTTCACCGATCACTCCTATAGCATCTATATGGTGCTCCGATTCTATAGCTTTCGATAATGTACTTTCGGCAAAAAACGACAGAACTAAGCAAAATTTCATGATATAAAAAAGGTATTCAATTGTCTGCCTTCTAAAGATAAACGTTGTTTCTTGTCTCGTTTTTACAAGGAACACAAATCAAAAATTCTCTAAAAAAAGAAACAGCTTGTAATCGCTTTGCTTTGCGTTAGAAACTTGATTTATGACACAGTGCCCATGCGCACCCCTTCAAGTTCGTCGTAGCCAAATACGACTGTACAACCAATTGCCAAATGTAATGCGATATACGAGCCAAGGCGGCCCGCCGCCAGATAAGTATTGCCTGAGGCAAACACGAAACAGTTTGGGACTGGGCTTTGGCACAACATTTGTTCTTTTCGGGGCGCCATGAGCTCTATAAATATCTGGGAAACAAATATCCATTCCATTCATATGCAAAGCGACACGAAGTTCGGAGGCCGTGACAATCGATAAAACAATGCATAAACTATGTGAATCCTTCGTGTCGGCCAAGTAGACGCACCTGGCACCAGAGCAGTCAGATGGTCGGCTCAATGGAGACTCAGAGTCATAAATGGCATAGCGTTGACAACAGCGCTGCATTTAACTATAATTATTGGCAGTCGTAAATTCTGAAATTAAAGCTTAACAATATGCATTTGATTGTAATGGCAGATGCGAGCTATCTGATTGTAAAAGCCAGACCAATTAGTTGCCAATTTTGTATTTATTATTTTTTATTTTATATAGGATCGTAACGGACCGCATTCGCCCAGTTCGCCGGTCAAGACGCCCACATCAAGCTCATCGAAGCCAGACAAGACGGGCATATCGCGCCCTCCGAGTGCCACGCCCTCAAATAAATCAGCATCCAAGTCGCGCAGCGCCTCTAAGAATCGCTTGCTGCTGAAGACGCCCGAGCCTGAGCCGGCCAAGAAAGGTATATACCAAAATGATCTCAAATAAAGGCTCTATCTAATCCTTTTATTCTTACATCCTTTGCCCCGGCAGTTCCAATGAACAAGGTACAGGTGGGACATGCCCCTTCGCCCAATCTGAAGGCGGTACGCTCCAAAATTGGTTCGCTGGACAATGCTACCTATAAGCCCGGCGGCGGACATGTTAAAATTGAGTCCAAGAAAATTGAGATTAAGGCAGCGCCACGCATCGAGGCCAAGAATGACAAGTATATGCCCAAGGGTGGCGAAAAGAAGGTAAGTCTTAAGTGGTCTATATTTGAGTTCAGGGTTTGGTTCTGTCTACAGACATGACAAACTGGCAACATAAATTAAATATACCCTGTACCTATTGCGCACAAATGGGTACACCGAAGTCTTACATATATGCGTAAGAGGCATAAAAGGACAAATAGTATAGAAATGTTCTTGATCAGCAAAGGCAATCTAATTGTTCGTCTGTCTCAGTGTCCGTCCGTATAAATGCAATTTGCAATGAAGGTTCTCATAATCTTAAATATCGCGGATCTTTAAACCATATCTCCGAAATAATAAAGAAATAGAGATCCATTTTTGCATATATGCTTTTCTATTGCATACAAAGATCAGAAATATGGTACCTTTACGCACCCATTCCCATAATTAAACAATTTATAGTTCCATTACATATATTTTATATATAATTACATCTTTAAGCCCTAAAAATGGTATAAAGTTTGCTAAATAAATATAGAAGCTTCTTACAAAGACGAAGTACAACAACTTTTCAAACTAGCTCAGTAAATCTCAGCTACGTACAGGGTATCTACTAGTCAGGCCACCTCGACTAGCGCACTCTTAAGCTTGGTTTTTAGTTTTTCAATTTTGGGAATTACTTATTTATATGAAACCAAAGAAAACGTAAAGTATATGATAGAAAATCAATTTCACGGTCGATTTGCGATTCAAGATATAGTCTGTATATATAATTGTATGTATATGCATACACGTATTTAGCCACACATGTATTTTCCATGCAATCTTTTGTATCTTGTGTAGGTTTGGAAATGCAATTACAGTTACGCCGCGGCACTAAGCAGCATTATTTGATTACCTTATGTAGCACATACCAAATAAAACTGAAACTGAACCTCTATCAATGCCTAGAATTTGTAGCTGGGTGCGTTCTCTGACATTGAATATAATTTCAATAAAAGCTAAATAAAACTGAATTAGATGATAATTCATAAAACGACCTACGTTGGGGCACAAAAGACAAAGTGAAGCCACCTTTTGGCAAGTTTTCCCTAAAGTAGTTACCTTTAATACAGTTCCTGAAGTTTAGAGCCTCCAAGCAATCAGTCTGGAACTATATGCCTATACATAGAACAAAACACGCCGACGTAATATATGTATTTGTTCAGCTAGGGATGACAGAAACGCAAATTTGCGATATCGATAGACGATTAACAATGTTGTTCTTACTTGTCATCGGGATGCTACATAGTAAAAACAAGAGTGAATAGGAGCTAAACTATGTTCAAATGTATCACTTATTTGTCGAAAACCCCAAAATAAAAAAAAATAGCTAAATTATTTTTCTAAAGCCAGTCATATGCAAATCTTAGCAGTTTTAAGCTGACGACCTCTGAAAATAGCCGTATTTAGCTCAAAAATAGCTGAACCGGTAACACTGGTATCAGTTGCACACACATGTTTGACTTTTAATTGTTTTACATGCCTTGTATCTATTTGCAAACCACCAACCCAACCACTAAACCACCAAACCACGCCCACATCCAAACACCACAAAATGCAAAAAAAACCCAAAACCAATTTGTAGATAGTAACAACAAAGTTGCAGTGGAATGCAAAATCGAAAATTGGTTCGCTGGAGAATGCAGCCCATAAGCCCGGCGGCGGCGATAAAAAGATCGAGTCCCTCAAAATGGACTTCAAGGACAAGGCCAAGCCGAAGGTCGGCTCCAAGGACAATGTGAAGCATCAGCCCGGCGGCGGCGATATCAAGGTAAGATTCAAGCCAAAACTTGATGCATTTTTTAGCGGAATCTGAATTGTGGATCTTAACCCGGCGGCATACGAGTACCGTTTCTTTTATCTCTGATTTATCTTTATGATTTGTACTCTCCTGAGCAGTAAGGAAGTTTTTTGTTCTCGTTTTTTGTGGTTGATGTTCCCTTTGATCTTAACTTTAACTGGCATGGGCATGGGCATGTGCCGCTCCAGCTGCGGCTCAACTGCATGTTTATGCAAAATACACTTTTAGTTCTTTTACGGCATGCTCTCAACTTAATTATAAGGTGTTTGACCGAACGTAAAACTAACACATCCATTCAAAAATGTGCGAAAAAAAAGAAACAAACTCAATGCAAATTTACAGAGCTATTCGTACAAGTTACCTAACAACGTTGTCTATGGCGAGGGCTCCAAAATAGTCTGCCATCGTCGAATGCTGAATAATACGCGTCTGGATGAGAATTTATATAACGCTGACGATTAGTTTGGGGTAGTTGGGTACGTAAAGCTAAAGCTAAAACTCAAGTCGCTGCACTATAAATCGGTGGTAATACAATATCATTATCTAACTAACCCCATTGGGTTCCATTTAAACTAAAGTTTTGGCCTAGCAGTGTTAATAGCTGTTACAGTATGTTAAAGAGTTCCCGATGTTGACATTGCCCAGTTGACGAAATAATTTTCATATGTACACTCAGAGAAAAACATGGCACTCCATTTGAGTATTACCAAAATTAACTTTAAACCGATTTGTCCTGGAGTAATCTTAACTTCGTTGAATACTTTAAAAATAAGCCCGAAATTTAACGTAAATATTGTCAAGAGAAATATATATATATATTAGCGGGTATTACCCGGCCTTGCCTGTGGCAATTCGAGCGCGAAACGTCACCCACCAAATGCCTGACCGCCATTTCCACCAAACAGGAATGAACTTTCCAAAAAGTGGAGAAACACCCCACAAAATTTTCGATTTGACAAGTTCGGTCTTAGTAAGAGTTCATGACATTCGTACAGAGTGCCTGATGTTTTCTCTGAGTGTACCTATACCAACATGTATATTATTCAATCTCTGGGAACTATTTAACTTGTACTAGAAATTGTATAATTTTCTAATTGATTGAACATAATTAAACAAATATTTGGATTATATATTTTGCTTTAACCATAAAAATATGTGCCTTTAACAAATGATTACAAAAATAAAAGGATAACAACACAAAGAATGTAAGTAGTTTCTGTGCATAATTAATTTGTCTATTTGTAATGTGCTTCTGTACAAAATATGCTCGTTGTCAATAATCAATTTTCTTTATTTGGTATTTTTGAACACATAACCTCACTTTCCGAAGAACCGTGTCAAAAGTAAAACTTAAAACACCCCAGTAGAAACTTTGTCTTGTAATTTCATGCATATGTGTAGCATACGTTTTCTTAACATTTTCAGTTTTCAGTAAATGTTTCTGTGTTGTTTGCGCTGTATAAAGAAAAATTCCAAATTGCAGTTATATCAACGATTGGCATTACGATCCGCTGTCGTGTGTTCATAATACACGAAATTCCTTACCAAAATAAATAAATATATATATACAAATATATGTATATTGTCGAGAGTTAAGTGTGTTTGCCAGTTGCTAATCAATTTCTGTGCGTTGCCGGTGCTGCTACAATTTCAGATACAATCGCAAAAAATAGAAATTAAGGCACAAAGCAAAGTTGGCTCGATGGATAATGTTAAGCACAAGCCCGGTGGCGGTGAGAAGAAGATTTTCGATGATAAGGATTATTTGAAAAATGTTGAACACTCTGTTGCACTGACAACACCACCAACACAGGTAAACAACAAACGAAATAGTGTCGAAAGCATTTTTGTAGAACATTTTTAATCTGATTTATTCAATTTGTATTCGCATTTGATTTCATTACGAAACGCCCAAATGTCCAATCATTTCATACATCAATCAATTCATATACATCTGTACATATACAAATGACATCCCATTTTGTGTTTAGCTCAAGAAATTCATTTTTTAATTGTAATTGTAATTGTAATTGCGTTGTCATTTGTTGTCTTGTTATTTTCATTTATTAACGTGTACTCTATATGGCATATGATCAAGTAATATCTGAGAGCACCGCACCCAATAAAAACAGCACCCACAATGGCTTACGAACCACAGATAAAATTAATAAACAGCTCTTGCTAACTGGTTTTCACTTTTCCTATAAATTAACCCCATAACAATTCAGCTCTGACTAAAGGCAAAGCAAAAAACATCTGAATAGCTCCAAAATTTATATACTATAATACCAAAGGTATTTTATGGCACTATCAAAACATATATATACACATTTTATAGCGGGTGTTATTTATTATTTTCTTTGTTGGTTTTTTCTGAATATTTTCAAGTTTCTTGTTATTTAATTTTACTTTACATTTTAAAATGAATTTCTTTCAAACTCAAACTGAGATGCATTGGCAAAAACAAAAATTGAATATCGAATACAAAATCTATCTATAAAAAAAAGCGCGCTTCATATTCATACTATATAAGTTCTCGTACTCGAAGGCGTGTTTAACATTTTACACACATTCACTTCTCTTTCTTTCTCTCTTTCTCGCCCTCTCGCTCTCGCCCTCAATATATATAATATCGCGTAACGATCCATCTGGAACTCGTAGTTTGCGACGCAGGGTCGCTTGGTTGCCACCATACACCTAGAATTCGGTCTTTGTAACTCTGACTGTGTGTGTAACGATATATTTGATTCGCTTTTTAAGTGAAATTCCTAGAAACGAAGACACGAAAATCAAAAAACAAAATTCACCAATTACAAAAAAAAAAAAGAAAAAGAACATTAAAATATAATTAGCTGTACTTAACGTTTGATATGAGGTTTAAAACAGAAGAAGCAAGAGTATATAAAACATCTCAAACTTTGTTTTTTCAAAAGAAAAAACATTTAAAGCAAAAGATCTCAAATGAGTTTGCAAGAGTTTCTATTTTAAATTATTTTCAAGAAGAAGAAAATAAAAACAACAAGTTTGTTAATTTCGGCTAGCTGAAATTTTTTATACCCTTTCCAATGTTAAACCCCTTGGAAAATGTATGAATCTCGTAACATTCTCAAGAGATGTTCGCCAAACTTTTGTTAATTCCTTTAGTATTTAAGTAAAAGAAACACGCCAATCGAGTATTATTTATGGCAAAAGTCAATACTTTTATACTACGTAGTTTAGTACAAATTTTTAAAAGATATTGGTGTGTACAAGAAATATAATACAGTTACTGAACAATAGCAAGAGAAATGCTCAATCTAATATATATATATATATATATATATATATGTATGTATGTGTATAATCTGATGATTGTGAAAGTCTGTCCAGCATTTAAAATCATAAAACGTGCAAAATGCTTTTGCTCTCGCCCTCATTTCATACACGAACCTATGTAATACGAATTTAATTGGGTTTGGCTTGAACTCATCTACATAAGAATTAACCAAATTAAGTAATTTTTTTTTAATTTTTACTTCATTTTATTACTAAATATTTATTTTATTTCTATTTGAATTTATTATAGGAATATATGTATACATTTTATTAGTCATAGTCATACGAAAACTCTTAACCAAGTGCATTAAATTCGAAACAGAAAAGAACCGTATACTCGTACTATAATAATGTGACGTCCATTAAACCGACTTCTAGTTATGAAACGATGCGATTTTATGCCATATTTTCGTATTACGCTCACGATTAAAGTCCTGTAAGTTTTTGCGTGCGAGTTGAAAACTCTTGTGTGCATTGCGTATCTTTTAACAGTGCTGTGATAGATTAACCGAACCGTACCATACCATACCGAACCGAACCGAACCGAACCGAAAAGTACCGTACCAATAACTGATTTGATCAACCCAACGCCCATATATGGTGCCCCGGTTTCATATGGAAAATTGCTTGCTGTGCTCAGTTTGCTTACCTTTTTGTTTGATGCCCTTTAATTAGTCATTGTTTTGCCTGAGTTGATTTATTTAACTGTTTTATGTTTGCCATTTGATTATTTAAACGATATTATATTTTTATCTTGAACGCAGAGTCCACAACCATCCATGACGGCTTCAACAAGCGGCGCTGATGAAAATTTAAATCAACAAAGTTAAATCCAGTCCAAAAATGCATGTTGAGCTGAAGTTTTACTTTCGTTTGATGCAAATTTGCAAATTACATAAATTACAAAAGAAAACAAAAAAAACTAAATTAAAAAAAAAAATAACAAACAAAATCCATTTTGAACAAAGCTTATTTGAAAAATGTAATCTTAAGCAAAAGTTACACAAAATGAAATAAATGCAATAATTACCACACAATACGAGTATTTACTCAAAAATTTCATAATTAAATTGTGCAAGCACACAACACACACACTCCGTTACAAAAATAAAATAAAATAAATTATATGATTAGTTGATCTGTGCACTATTTATCTATCAGATACCAAGGCAAATGCATAAACTATATAAATCTTTATATACAAACAATAAGCAAATTTCATATACTACAACAAACATATATATTGAAAAAAATAAATAAATATAACAAAAGAAAGTATCTAAAGTATTAAGAAATTATACAAAGCATAAACAGTTAGTTATATATATATATATATAAACTGTGTGCTTTACGTGTAGTTAAATGTGTTGAAAAATAAAATGAAAATTGAAACATGAAAACTATCAGATACAAGTTCGAAATTCATATACAAATTTAGATACTTTTACTTTTTGCAAGAACCGCAACCGATTCGAGTACCACAATTTAAGCATACATATTATATGATATATATTTTATAATTTGTACGAGTAAACATACTAATTAGACAAATGCAACATTCTCACAACTTATTTACACCACGCTCCTTTGTTACAAAAATGTAAGAACAAAAAAAAAAATGCGAATTTCAAGCGTAATAAAACAAATCTTTTTTCATTTACCAAATATAAAATACTTGGCGTTAATTGCACTTAGTACCTCTCAATTCTGACAGCCAATTTGGATATATATTTATATATATATGTAAGCGTAACTATTTGGTAGCAAGCAAAGCCACGTCCACGCCGCAAGCGTATCAAATGCTACACACACAAGCGCACATATCAACCACATTTGGATGCATTGGTAAACAGAGAACCGAACAAATTTTGACCTAGCCCAAAAAAGCAAATTGTAAGTTTCTATCTGAAGTTAATTTGAACTTTGAATTTACGTTATTTCTGACGATCAGTTACATTTTTGTCTTGTGCTGGCATTCTACTACAATAACAGTCTTTTTCGCTCATCCTCACAGTATTGGAAAGCGCCGCGCATACAACGTGCCACAACACTGACCTCATCCATGTCCTTGCCAGCGGAATGCCTGGTGCTATCCGTTTCGATGCCCTCACTGAACTCCGAACCCAAACGCCCCAAGAGTGCGGGCGCCAAAAAGAAACCCGGCCAGGCTGTACATCCCAAGCCCTTCCGTTTGTATTGAGCCACGAGCCGCCACCAACACCACGCTGCACCACAATCGTTGCACCGAGAGGAGATCTTCTCTATATATATATACGATATGGAATTGTTAACAAGTTGAAATCGTGGCACGCGGCACTTGAACCCAAAACTAAATTGTTAATTGTTTACGACAAATTGAAGAAACGTGGCATTTAAATAAATAAAAGAAATTTTAATAACTAGGCAATGTTGAGCACACAAATCGAACCGTTTCTTTCTGATTTTATTATAATTACAGCGCTGTATATATATATATATATATATATACTTAACGATAACTCGTTAGTAGATTATCAGTTACGGCTGTTGCGTACAAAGACGCTCGCCATTCTTCGTTTTACATTACATTTACATGAGTTTACGTTAGATTTGTTCTCGTTATAAATATAATCGATATAAAAAATTGTTGTTCGAATTGCTAATCGAGTTGTTTACAAAATGTTGTGCTTGTGTTTTTGTTTTTTTGATTCGAGTCAAGTCACATATAAATGCAGTTTTGCCATGCCATTTCCATATCCGTTTTCCATATACACTTTTCGCTATACTTAAGCCGTAAAAGTTTTTTTACATTTCAATATTAAAGTTAGGGACAATAAATAAGTTATTATAAAATAAGAAACAACAGTTGTTACACTTTGAAAAGACAATTTCAAATGAGCGTCAGTTAATTGTGATTATTACAAGTAATTTGAAAAAAAGTCTTAGCTAATGTATAAACGCATTTTATATTATTTATATTTGTTTTTTTTTTTTTCTCTAAGAGCTCATCGTCAAGTGTTTTGGCTATTGTTGAAAATTAGGAAACGCCTGGGCTACATTATAATTATAATACATTTAATAAACAAATTAGGAATTGCTTATATATTGTTCTCTATACTTTAGCACTGATATGCGAAACCAATATTTCGTTGGTTTCTGGTTTTTTTCTTTCGATTTTTGCTGCTGCTCTTGATTAAAATTAGTACAATACATTCGATTCAATTGACTAGATTTCAATATGGGTGTAGCTGCTTTTGAATTATGGTTTAAGTGCTGCTGCTTTTCTTTATGTTAATTACTTTTAGTTTTCTAATGGGAGGGAGTCGTATTGTGTTTTCTTTTGTGCCATGCGGTTCTCAGTGAATTATGCAAATAATATTTAAACTTATACATATTCAAAATTACAGAGTAAAAAAATGATAATGCTCAATGAATCAAGTGCGCAAGTTGTGTTGATTTGTTCACGCTTAGGTAGAGATAGATAAGGGCGTTCCATTTTATGTGTGTGTTTGTTCTCTCTGCTGCTTCTGAGTATTCTCTGATGCCGTTTTCCGCTGCTTATTTACATAACTAAACACTTTCGCTGGCGTCGCTTTAACGGCTCCGGCTTCAGCACCGCGCGCACCGCCTCCTCGAACACCTAAACAAATAGAGAATTGCATTGAAATAAAATTATGTAGCCGTTGCTTAGGTGTGTCACTTACTTGCTTGAGTCCGCGCTGCGTCAGGGCGGAGCACTCCATGTATTTCACAGCGCGTATTTTGTTCGCAAGCTTCTGGCCTTGTTCGCGTTTAAGCGGCGTCAAACCCTGCTCGGCCAGGCCGCTCAATGTCTCGCGATCGTCACGCAAATCGATTTTGGTGCCTGAAAGCAAGAGGAAGACACCGCAAAGTCATGCCACACCTGAGAGCTAAGATCGCATCAACAAACTTACCCACTAATATGATGGGCGCGTCTGGGCAATGATGTTTGATCTCTGGATACCATTTGGAGGTGACATTTTCGAACGATGAGGGGCTCGCAACGCTGTAGCATATCAGGAAGACATCTGTCTGTGGGTAGGAGAGCGGCCTCAACCGGTCATAGTCCTCTTGGCCGGCGGTATCCCATAGGCCGAGCGACACTTGTATTGTATCCACTTGCATGGGTGCGGAGTAATTATCGAAGCTGTGCGGAAATGAAGGGATTGCATATAAATATGATTAGAGAAGATCAGCGAGCATATGTGGAGAGTTGGAAAAAACTTACACTGTAGGCACATATTCACCGGGAAAACTGTCTGTTGTGTAGGAGATTAGCATGCAAGTCTTTCCGACGGTACCGTCACCAACGACGACACATTTTATGGGTCTTCCGGTTGACATCGTCGAGTCGTGACTGTATTTGCTGAATGAGCGAAATGTGAATGTGAGTGTGCTTTTCGTCAGAATATCTTGTTTTGAATGAATGCGTGCGCATTTAATTCAATTAATTAAGCTATACTTGAGGCAATAAACTCTATACCCAACTCTCTACATCTTATCCGACACCACAATGATATGTATGTAAGTATATATATATAAATATATGTATATATGTATATACATACGAACACACACTGACAATTTAATTAGTTTTAGTGCCGTGGAGAATGTACACTTATGTACATATATTTATATATACGATCAAAGGCTGGCATCAAAAGGTGTGTCCCAGCCGCAAACATAATAAAACGAAAGTTTTATATACACTTCAGGGCCTTTTTTTTTTGGTTTTTTGCAAATAATATTTACGAAAATAGATCATGATGCGGTAGAGACTGCGACACACATAGAGAAATTACGGAACACCAATGTCTAGATACCCTTACTTATTGATAAATATCTAAAGAAAACCGAGAAAACCATAAACCACATTTACTCGGAAGCCTGTCAGATGTACATATGATATATTGCACAGATCTGGTCGCTTCAGGCATATAGTATGTACATACATACATATACATATATTTGTGGCAAAGTAAACAACAAAATAAATATACATATATATTCAAAAACAATCTTATTGGGTTGAAATGAAATAGTATCCCATAAAATATGGTGCCAACTGTATGTGCGTAACTTTAAGCCTGCAGAATTTGATAAAAATTGATTTAAGCTATCAATTGATCATGAATACACATATATACATATGTATATACATTATTTTCTACTTAGGGATGCCTCCTTCAATGTGTTACAGATTTCATCACAAAATTAAATTACTCTCTCTCGTACTCTCACTCTCTCTCTCTACGCACACACACGCGCGCACACACAACAGCAAAATGGCAATAGTGTCGTCGACAAGAGCCCTCGGGGGCGCCAATGGAGCAGTGCGTCTGAATGGGCGTCGAGGCAAGCTGGAGGGGCGGCAACAGACGAATGCGCCCAAATGTTGGACGGACGCGCATTGTTAAAAATAGATACAATTAAGTACAAATAATGCAGGCGGTGGCAGCGCTTGCGACCCCACAACAGACAAGCGGCTGGGCTTTAACCGTAATTTGTAATGCCAATTCAATTACAGTTTAAGTGAAAAAGCAGCGGACATACATATCATTGCACATGCAATGCAAGTGCAGAGCAGGGCGCGCTGATCTCTCCCTCTCTCTTATTGTTATGGTCGAGCGCTGCTGCAGCGCTGGACATTCGTCACTTTCGCTCTGTTGTTGTTTTGCTATCAGCGGGCGCCGCAACCGCAGGCCGCTGCCAGCAGCTGCCGCACGTTCACATTTTGCGTGCAGTTTAGCTTATATTGATATACACAAGCAAATGTATATGTATATAACCAGGTTAATACCGTTTCTTAACTATCCTTTGTCTGCGGCGGCAGATTGGAATCGTGTATTGTAATCGAGCTGTTTTGTACTTTGCTTATATCACTGGTATTTGTATTTGTATGCAGCACACACTCATGCACATGTAATGCGTTGGTAAACACGCATGCACAAACTAACGTTTCAACTAACTTTAACACTATTTTATTATTATTTTAATAAATTAATAATCATTTAAGTGGCAGCGCAGCGTTTGTATTTTCTTTAAATCTGCTTTTTTGTTGTACACCAACACTCACGCACACACGCGCACACATACACGCCTTCTTTTGACAGCGTCGCTCAACTCTGACAAGCAGTGTTGCAATGCGCGTCAGCGAAATCATCGATTTTAACGCTGCACAACACTCAAAGTTATTATGCTGGCTGAAATGAGTAAATTGTTTATTGTCAGCCGTTTTATCAGTTATAATAAACTAATTCAAGGCGCACTTGGTTCAAAATTGTGCAGCAAAACATTCTGTCTGAGTGCTGCTAAATATTCGGATACGGGTCAAGGCGATGCACCAAGCGTATTGGTCGAAAAAGATGCCAACATCACATTGATTGGTATCAACAGAGAGCAACAGCGCAATTCAATTGATGCAGCCACCGCGGTGAAGCTAAGCGAGGCTATCAATCAATTTGAGGCGGATGACACGTCGCCTGTGGGAGTGCTATACGGCGTGGGCGGCTCTTTCTCAGCCGGCTATGATTTGAAAGAATTGGAAGCGGAGGCGCAACGCGGCAGTCTGAACTTTTTGCTGCGCCATGAGGGCTCTGTGGGTCCCACCAGGCGGCACCTACGCAAACCCATTATATGCGGCATCAGCGGTTTCTGTGTGGCCAGCGGCCTAGAACTGGCACTACTCTGCGATCTTCGAGTCATGGAAGACACGGCTGTGCTAGGCTTCTTCAATCGCCGATTGGGCGTGCCCATAAGCGATGGCGGCACCGTGCGTCTGCTTGCTGCAGTGGGCTACTCAAATGCTGTCGATATTATAGAGACGGGTCGGCGTGTGTACGCCACAGAGGCACTGCGCATTGGACTAGTCAATCGAATTGTGGCCACAGGCACAGCGCTGGGCCAGGCAGTCAACCTGGCATTTTCGATAGCCAAGTTTCCATTGGCCTCGCTGCAGCACGATCGTAATGCGACACTGGATAATGCCAATGTCTATGCGCGTCCAGGTTTTCACTCAGCCGTAAGCAACGAGATCATGAATGTGACTGCGGCCATGGTAACGGATATGCAGGAGGGCGTCAAGCGTTTCAAAACATGTAAGTACATTTTATTATAAGAAGTTCTTTTATCATAAATCCTTTCTATGCAGCTGAAGCAAAAGGCCCCAAAACGGATGCCTGGCACATTAAGCAGAAGTCTCTACCGGATTGGGAGAGAGCCGAAATCGAAATAGAGCAACAGCTAAAGGAGAAGAAATAACGAAATTGAAATATTCCACATCTCAAAAGCATTTAGTGCAATAGCATGTAATATATGTAAATAAGAATGGGTTTTTATTCGTTTATTTTTTGTTGCTGTTGTTTGTTTATTCACATATAATATATTTTTTAAATTAGTTGCACACAAATCGTTTACGATTTGAGTTTTGAGTTTATTTCAATATTCACAACAATTACAATAACGAAATTTCCTTGAAATTAAGCCTAACTACAAAAAAGAGTAAGAGGAAAAGCACAAAATTTGTTTCGTGTGTGTGTGTGGTTGTTTGTTTCATAATTAGTTTATAATATATAAAAAATATGCTAGTATTAAGTACTCGTACACACATTCAATTTTTTTTTAATTGTTAGGCCAAGCGAGCTCTTGTTAATTTTTGTTTTTGTTTCAAGCGATTTTTGCTGTTAATAAGTACATATATATATGGATATATGTTTTTCTTTAAATGGTTGTTGCTTATAGGCTAAAAATTGTTAACGAAAGGAATTGTTATTATTGCACTTAAGTCGAGAAAAACAAACGAAGCTCAATGCAAAAAAGGCTGCTGTTGTACAAACTAGTTTAAAAATCGACTGAAAAAATCGTTTTCATAGAGTTACGCATATTTAAATGCGCACACGTACGCACTTTTTGTTGTTGTTCTTTTTTTTTTTGTAATTCATCGTACATCATTAATGGTTAACATTTACAATCGTTTATTATACTTAAGCCAAAAAGTTTGTCATACAAATATTGCACAAAAAATGGATCGGACTGTGAGTTTTGCACACCAATATTAAATTGCTAAACCTTCAATCAAGTGGTGGTATGAGTTCATATATCGTTTCAGATATTACATATGGTATTTAGAAACCTAAAGACCACAATACAATAAGTACATATACATATTTACAAATGAAAAAGCCAAGGCGCGCCTTCTGTATAAAAAATATGCGTTATAAAGCAATTGCAATTTGCTGCGACATTAGCTGGCGGCGTGCTATAAGTACTATATAGTAATTTATATATATATATGCAGATATATATGTAATGCTTTATGTTAATACAGCATTAATATCCAATTACTTGAGACGCTGTGTTACATTGGCCAGCGCCACGGCAAATGCCTGCAGCGCCGAGAAGGGATACTGAAAATCCAAGGTGTACGCATTGCCATCAATGCGTCCAAATTGCATTACCTGTAAGAGATCAAGAGTTTTATCTATATGCTAAATATGGTCACATACATAACGGTATTCAATAAATATAGCCAAAAATAATCGGCATGCCGAATATAGCCGTTATTTATGGTTAGAGATTGATTTGGGTCCGCACCTGCTTGCCACGAAATTCAATTTGAAAATTCTTGGCCGATTCCTGGGTGACGCGTCCGCCAAAGTCCAGCTGATACACTTGGCTCATCTCGTTCCACATGGGCGCCTTGTTGTGCATCACGAACTCGCGACGCACTGGCGCCGTATTGGCGCAACTGGCACTGCCATTTGGCTCGATCTTGCCACGTTTAAGCTGTACATAGGAAAGCAGGTTATGTTTATGAATTGGAATTATTTACCAGCTGCAGAGCTCACCTTCTGGCGTAGCTGCGCCTTTTGGAATGTTTCCAGATCGCGATACTGCTTTCCATTGCCATTGCCATTGCAGGCGCTGCCCATTTCCTCGCCGGACCCATTCGTAAGATTGCCCTCATCGTCGGAGCTCTCAATGATGCTCGGCTTCTTGCGCTGACGGCGATTCAGGAGCGGCGAGTTGAGTATGTGGCGTATGGGCGAGTTGCTCTGCTGTCGCTTGTTCTTCTTGCTGGCCGCCGGCGAAGCGGGAGAGCTGCGCGGCAACCGCTGCGGCGTCGATGGCGGCGTCAATCGACCCTCATCCAGATCACGCAAACGACTGATGATATTTTCGAGAGTGGTCAAAGCCTGAAATGGAAAGGAAAGTTGAATAGGATCTACAGTGCTGGATATATTGGATCTATATTGCTGCTTGAATTTGAGCCAGCGACTTCCCATATGTCAGCCCAATGTTTAAAGTTTTCTAAACTTTACGGAAACCGACACTGTTAAGGTCTACAAGATGTGCCTAAATAAAAGCTATAAGACGATATTTACCGATTTACAGTAAACTTTATATTTATCGATTTCAGTTATATAATGCAAATTATCGATCAATTTAAAATTTAAATCAACGAACTGCGACACAAAAACCTATACGAATAATTTGGTATATTATATATAGGTCTTATAATCGGAGAAGCCCTCATCTGCCTTTATACACATATTTGAACAACTCCTCCCTTCTGGTCACTAAATGGCTGCAGGGTATCATAAGAAAAAGTCTTAATCGTTGCCCAGTTCTCACCTGCGTGTGCAGAGACACCGATGCTTTGGCCTCCACGGGTGTCGCCTCCACAGTGCCGCAGGACACGCTGCCCGTTTCCGAATGCTGTCGCTCCAGCGTGCTGGCTTTGCTGGCGCCCTGGGTCTGGCTTTGGCTGGGCGCCGGTTCCTTGCGCCGCCAGCGCACCTCGGACAGTTGCTTGACAAAACTAAAGCTATTTTCCTGCTTGCGTGCGAGCAGAGGCGTTGAGTTCTCCGTGCTGCTGCCCGCTGCCAGCTCCTTGCTGCGTCCATAACCAAAGCGATGTTTGCGGGTGAAAAGCGGACTGTCCGTGAAGCTAGTGATGACGTCGAAGCGTTTCTTGGGCGTCGGTTTGCTTGGGACCGCTACATCAGCTGCCGGCGTTGGCTCCTTGGCGGGTTCCACAACGACCGTGGTGATCTCGTCCAGCGCCGCGCTGGCCGCTGGCTGACAGCGCTTGCAAATGCTAGCAGGATTCATGTTGTTGCGGCACTTGAAGCACAGCGTATTAGCCGCGCTGCTGCAGGCGCTGCTGTCGGAGATCTCCTGCAGCTTGCGCACCACCTGCTCGTGCTCTTTGCTGGACAGTTTCGTTTGCAGCGAGAGCAAATCGCAGGAGTCCAGGCTCTTCGATTTGCCCGTCTGCTGAAGCTTGTGCCTGCGCGCGTCCGACTGCTGCTGCCGCTTGCGGTTACGATTGCGCCGCTTATCCACCAGGATAAGCCGCTTGTTAGGCGCATCCTTGCGCAGCGCCGACAAGGCCTCATCCGAAGGCGTTATGGCCACCGAATCCAAATAGCCCACACTGCAGCTGCGCGTTATGGAGTCGGGCAACGCGGGTGCTATAGAAACCACAGTCGGGGTGCGTTTCATGCTGCCGCTGGTGGCAGCTGAGGAAGTTGCGGTGGCATTGCTGCTGCTGGTGGTGGGTGTTGGCGACTGCGTCTCCTCATCTATGTAGAGCATGTCGCGTCGCTTCGTTGTGGAGCTGGCAGGCGCTGCGCACTTAATAGCCCGTGCGTCCATGCGCTCCAGATTGAGATTGAGATTGAGCGGCACCGGATTCACATGACTGTTGGCGGAGCGTACCGGCTCCGACATGAGCGCATTCTTCACCTGCACCACATTGTTGGCATAGTCGGCATTGCTCGAATAGGACATCAAGGTGGTCTGGCCGGCGGCGGGCACGGCGGGCCGCTCGAAAATGATATCCGACGGCGCCACCGCGTTCTTGGGCGATTGTAGCGTCGGCACGGAGCCATCGCAGTAGAGCGGAGATATGGCATGCCGGGACTGGCAGCTTGAATTGGAGCTGGAGCGGCTGTAGCTGTTCTTGAAGCTGCTTATGGTCTTGGGACGCGTGAGATTCTTGCTGCAGCTGGCAACAGGCGCGGCACAGGCAGCGTTCGCGGCACCACCGGAGCAGCTGGCAGGCGCCTGATGCAGCAGCACGGTGGTGCAGGAGCTGCCGCTGGCATTGCCAGCCGCATCCTGAGATTCATTCGAGGAGTCATCGTCATAGCTCTCGGCACGTGCCAGCGGACTAAGACCCACCGAGGAGGCACCTCCACTGCCTCCATTGACAGTCAGCGTGTGCGTGTTCTTGTGGCGCGCCAGTATCCGATTCGGGCGCGGCGACATGGGCGCTATCGGCGGTGCGGAGGCGCCGCCCTCGTTGAGCCGACGCAGTGGCATTATTGGTGGCTTCAGAGCAGCGATCGCTTCCTGAGTAGCGCTCGTTACGCTTACATGAGGCACTAGTGCATCCGTGTTGTGATTATGATTGTAATTATGATGATGCTCCTCCTCGTCCTCAGAGAAGAGATTCGGATTGAAGCTGGGATCGGGCCCGGTCGGAAAATCATCGCGCAGCTCCGTTATGACCAGCGTCATTTGACGCGGCTGCAAATGCAGTAGGGACGTCTTATAAGTTACTTGGCCTAAATTGGCTGGGACGGTTTTGGCAAGTCCATGGATCTTGAATTTCGTGCCCCAAATATTGGAGGTCACCTCCACCAGCTTGACTTCCTGCTTGGAAAATATGTGAAAATTAACGCATGCCACCTCAGATTATCGGATTCTCTCTCTCTCTCTTTCTCTTTCTGTCTCTCTCTTACCTCGGGCAGTGTATCCACATAGGCCAGCTCATCGAGGCTATCAGGATCGTTGCCCCCATTGCCACTGGCCGCACGATCTCCGTTCTGTTGACGCCGCTTGGCGCGCACACGGCGTTTCCTGGGTGTGCGAGGCGAGCCAAAGCGGGAGCGCTCATCGAAATCGCTGTCGGAGGAATCGGTGCGTCCGCTGTTGCCCGTCGTGGTGGACTGACTGGATCCGGAGCTGCTTTTGGCCTCGGCCGCATATTGGAAATACAGCGAGTTGTCTGAAAAGTGCAATTTGGCTTAGCATTAAGGTTAAGTGTGCTGCGTGTGGTTCACCATACCATTGACTTGTGGATCAAAGATGACAAACTCCGGGCGTATTTTGGAGGTGCGCTTGCCCTTGAGCAGCGGCACCAGGCCGCCCAGATATTCCAAGTAGAGCGTATAGCAGGTGCCAGAGCTAAGATTGGAGTCATCATCGTGCCGTATCATGGTGCAATGCAACCGTGTCGAGCACAGAGGCGGACGCGACACAAAATCACGCAGCGACTTGAGATCAGGTACACAGCACTGCAGCAGCAGGGACATGGATTAGGATTAACTGAAAACAATTGTAGGCTGATGGACTTACTCGTATGGTTTGAGCAAACAAATTGCCAATGAGCGACTTAATCCTAGAAGGCAACGGCAGCAGTGGCAACAGCATCTCGGAGCCAACGCTCGCCTGGATCTGCAGCCGGCAGAGCAGCTGCAGCGAGGCCACACGTCGTGAGACCCAAGCGATGTGCACCTGTGTGCCCGTGGCTATGAACAAACGCTTGTCGTTGTGCCCCCACGTGATGGCTGATACGGTGGCGCTACTGCAGGGTATGTGCGCCTGGTAAAGGCATGCGCCCGATTCCGTATAGAACTTGACTAGATTGTTATAGAAGCTAGGCGTGCCCAGATCCTCCAGTTTGCCGTCCAAGCCCAGGCCAGCGCTATTGTTGCGCAGTGTGCCGGCGACGGCGAGCAGCTCTCGTGAGTTGCTCCATTCCATGACCATGCCCAGGGCGCCGTTAAGGCAGGTGTTGATATGTGCGGGTGAGACGTCGTCAAACGACTTTAACAAATAGATATATCCATTCTGGAAGCTGACCGCCAGAACAAAAGAGCGCTTGGCTAGAAAACGCGAGAGGGAGGGAAATGTGGAATTGATTGATTGACTGATTAAAGACCGACACAATAGATATTTCAATAGATCTGCTCAACGAGTAAGATTTTCTTATTATTTAAATTAAATAGTGAACTGAACGAAAACTTTTGATAAATCCGCTTTGTATACCCCATATGGAACAATTTCCTCTTACTCACCGGCATTTGTTACACCGGGCTCGGCTTCCTCGCCCTCCTCCATTTTAAACTTCTCGCAGGACCAGGCCATCGATGTGATGGGGACATCATTGGAGAGCTGCACCTGCGACACCATCGCACCGTGCACATCCATGACAATCACCTGACCCTGGGTGGTGCCAAAGTAAACCTGCTGATCATCGGGCGTCCAAATGCCGCACGTAATGGTCGACTCCAGATTCAACATGGATGACCAATAGCGCTGGCCCGCGACAGAGCCGACGAGGACGAAGCCATCCTGATAGCAAATGAGCGCCATGCGACCATCGTGTGACCAGGAGAAATGCGTGACCGGTGTATTCCGATCGTTGATCAGCTCAATGGACCAACGACCCTCGTATTTGATCCACACAAAGATAATGCCAGAGCTGTCGCAGGAGGCGAGCTTTTGATACGGCTCATTCCACTTGACAAGTATTACCTAAAGAAAGACCGTGGTTGGGTCTTGAGGGGCTCAACAAAATGTAAAAGTGCTTCGCTTACGTCCGAACGATGACCTCGCAGATTGTAGTTGGTTCGCAGTGGATAGTCCATGTTTTTGCGGCAGTGCGAGGTGGTGAATGTGACGCCCACAATGCCGCGTATATTTCCGGTTGCCAGCCAGCCCTCCTGGTAGTAGTTCGTGCGGTTTAGCTTCCAGCCCTCATCCTGTAATGCAAATAAGAAAAAGAATCAAAATCAAATTGAGTATCCTTTGCGCACAGCTGCCGACAGGATGAGCTTGCCAACTCACCCAAGCAGCCGCCAATTGACAGTCAAATGCGCGCAAATGCGCCTGTAAAATGGATTATCCCGCTAGCAGTAGCTGCCTTTGACTGCCGTCCCACTTTGCAGCACACTTAACTGACATTTGTAAGCACTCAATATGCTGTTTTTAATACCCTGTACTCATGGAAGGTGTTAAACAGGGTACAACTACAAGATATGCACATTGTCTGTCGTCTAAGACACTGTAATAAATTTTACTACAGGGTATTTCTGGGCCAAACAATTTTTTTAAACCTTTTTTATTGATCTATATACACGAAGCTCAGTATAAATAATTTTTTTGGCTATTTTAAAGCTAGGTACAAGGTTGTAACCACTTAACTTATAATTATGTAAGCCTATTAATATTTAAGGACTTAGGACTTAAAGATAGTACATCCAGACAGTAAGAGATACTGATCTTAAAAAATGTTAGAGCTATTTAGAACTGAATACAGGGTATCATTTAGTCAATCATAGCCCATCAGAGATTGTATGTTTGCTGTGCATTTAAAAGTATAAACCTAAGTAAGAAGCTCAGATAGTTAAGGCACTTTTGACTCGAATATAGAGTATCTTATAGTCGAGCATTGAGGTTTAAAGTATTCTTTGACTTTCTTGCTGACAAGTCTAGAAGACACATGTGTGAATGTGCACAAATGCACGTTAGATCATTTGAGAACTGAGTACAAGGTATATTCTACATTTTCGATTGATAAAGGTGTCTATTGGAATTTATATACACATGAATATTTGAACAACAGCTCGAGAGTCTCACAGCTCATTACAGGGTATATAATAGTCGTGCATTCTTATTTACAGCAATGATATGAATGCCCATCACTTTGTGTACAATTGTGTGCGCATTAGGATAAGCTTAAGGACACTTGTAAACTGACTATTGGGTATTTCTCAGTCGAGCACTTTTGATAAACTAATTTAAACTTATTTCTCCATCTGGCACTTGAGCTGTTCTGCAGCATTCAGACTGCATTCACAATTTTTGCCTTTGGCATCAGCCGCATCTTCCTCCCTCCCCTCCCCGCCTCTCTCACTGGCACCCACGCGCAACACCCCCTGGGACCCACAGCAGCCAGCCGCACCACTCGTCAGATTGTAGACTCCAACTTTTGAGCGGCTTTTGCAATTGCTCTGCTGATTATATTTCACAAAGTGTGGCCTACATTTGAGCGCCAATTGGTGGCAGGTGATAAGCTGCAAAGTTCAGTTTTCATTTCAGGCTGCGAGGCCCAAGGAACTTGACTGGCCGAGTCGGGCGCATTGGGCTAATCCCCGCTAAGCCAAAATGGTCAATATTATTATCTGTCTTTCTTATTTTTTTAAGGCCAAATCCAATTTGCGAGGCATAAATTAAAATGCCAGTAACAACAATTTATTTCGCAATTTCCGCTTGGCCAGCTGCGAAGAGTGCATAGCTTTTTATTGATTTCAGTTGGGCCACACCCACACACACGCCTTAATTGGTTTACTAGCCCGTTTGATGCCCGCCGCTGTCAAATGCAATTACGTAATGGACATTGCCTGGATCTATGCGAACCCTCCCCGCTACCAATTGAAATTTGCGCACATTTGCGTTAAATGAATTAAATAGGGAAAAAATATGATAATAAAATATTTTCAGCAAACCAATTGCCGCATTTTGTGGCACATTTCAACGTGGCGTTCAATGACGGCGCCCAATTATAAAGCGCATTTCTTTGTGGAGAGTGTTATTAACCTTTCATTGGGCCACTTGAAGACAACGTCTGGGCCATCAGCGGCCTCTATATGCGATACGAAGTATGTAAATATATCTGCATTTAATAAACACTTGAGACAAAAACATTTAAGAAAGTTCAGCTGAATGAGCTCAACTGCCAGATGCCCTGTAAACAGTTTTATGAAATGTACATGAATCAATTCAATTCAAGCAATTCAATTAAGTTGCCTAATTCATATCTATCGGAATTTATCGAACGTGTGAAGATTTATGAATATAAAACATCTTTTATTCACTTGATTACTGCGAGATTTGTATTAATAAAATCCTTTAAAGATAAGATAAGCTATAATAGGACCTCCACCTCAAATCGAAATCACATAGTCTCTGAGTTAAGACGGACTGAATATTATAGTAGATAGATAGTATAGGACCTTCAAACATGTGATTATTGTGCACTTTTAAAATAAACTCGAAATAAGTTGTTGAAGAACCCGCATACCAAATTTAGTAGCTCTAGCTTAAATACTTTCTGACTTAGAAGTACTGGACATTATAGTAACTGGATAACATGTAGAACAGTTGTTAAAATTGGATCCCTAAACATGTGATTATCATGCGGTTAATAAATGGTAAAAGAACCTGCATACCAGATTTCGTAGTTCTAGTACGGCTATGTCTATACCAAGCATATTCGCGTGACTCGCAGGTTCAACTGTATTTAGTTTTACAAGTTTCAAGTTCATCCAAAAGAATAAGAAGTTTCATATTAGAGTTCCCACCCATTTTCCGACCGTGAATATGAATGTTTGAAAGTAAGTAAGTAAGTAAGAAAGTAAATAAGTAAAAATAATCAAATTATAATTATAATTATTGGAAATATCCTTAAAGAAAAGTTTGAAAACCTTTGTTTTAAACTATTTAAACACAAAATAAATGATTTAACGTTAAATGGCTTGCAAATTAGCTGAAAACCGATCGAACGGAAGTAGAAAATGCTTTACTCCAGAGTTTTCCATGCGTTTCATCACGAATTTGTACATTTTACGATGATTGCATTTGGTATATGATTTATTCTGCATGTAGAAATAATGGTTTTTGTACATTTTCATATAGATTGATAAAGATATAGAAAAGAGATTTCAAACAAAATGATCAGACCGTACCAGCTTTACATTTAATCAACCCAATTTACCACATTTGTGCAGGGTATTTGGGGAACACTTGAGTTAAATACGTTTCCACAAGCTTGCAGATATATTCCGACATTTTCATGTCCATTTTATGGACGTTTTATTGCCATGGAGCAAATCGGCATTTCAATATTCAGTATTCGGCAATATTTTTAGTGCTTTTCAATGTTTATTAAGCTCAACTAAAATGCACTCGGGGTAAATGCAGTCAACATGCAGTAAATTAAAAAATAAAAAGCAAAAACACGATTTCAAAATATCGAAATTTTGTTACAATTTGATCACGAAATTGTTTGAAAAAATCTAAAGAAAAAACACGCGCCTCATACGAAGCATAGCAAGAAAATGGAATATAAAAGCGAATTAAAAGTTTTTGGACCACAAAAGAAAATGTTTTAATCGCTGGTTCAATAATCACTTGATGTGGCCTTCGGGCGCCTCGGCCAGTTTTCTGCTGCCATTGACAACATTAAATGCAATTTTCATTAATGCCGTAATTGAATTTCATAAAGAGGCAGCCGAGTCCCTGCCAAGTTGAAAGTTGAGCGGGCGTCTTTGGGAGGCATGTCTTGCCTTAGCGTTGACAGGCCATCAGCTGGTCGCTTTATGCCACTTGCCACTTGCCACTTGCAACTTGTTAGCTTGTTAACAGCTGCCACATCGAAGTGCAATGCGGAAATTGCTTTGATTGCAACAGCAACAACTTCCGTCCTAGCATTGTCCCGGACCTGGCTAAACAATGGGCAGGCTCTGCGGCAGATTTCCATTTAGATTTGTTGCATAGTTGCACAAATTTCAATGCAACATGCCCCAAAAACTTTTCAATGCAGGCCAACTGCAGCAAATGCTTTCTGTATGTATGTAGCTTTTGGGCAACAACTGCTGCATGTGGCATGATGCTCTCGGTGTTGTTGTTGTGGCAGCCATAAATTGCGGTTGTGCGGCGATATCAATGTTGCCCCCTCATCATGCTCCATTTCAAGCGCTCAGCACACACACATTTTTAATTAATTTAATGCAATTTTCAATATAAATAGCTCAGCTTGCTCTTTGTGTATTTATCACTCTCTCTCTCTTTCTCTCTCTCTATCTCTCTCTATCTGTCTCTCTTTCTCTACAATAATCATATTCCCTACAGGCAAACGCTTGTTTATTTTAATAAGGCTCAGCGGGACAATTTTGTAAATTCGCATGGAACAAATCGGAATTTAAATGCGTTAAAGTTTAAACTTGATTAAATCAATTAAAGAATATTATTTTTTAAATATAAACAGAACATTTGGTTTCACGTGGCGTATGCGCAATTTGGTCTTTAAAACTTTAATATTTGGTAAATAATTACACAGAGATGTGAGTCTTATGCATTAGCATATGTTTTCTCATAAAGTTTTGATCGAGACAACGAAGTGAGTTAACCCGAATCATCTGTATAAGCACCTTAGAAACTAACTCTGAAACTACCAGAACTAGAGACTTATACGCGAGCGAAATTATTCTTGAATACATTTCCCTCAGTTTGAAACAAAGTAAATATGTAAGTTCGTGGTTGTGTATTCATGTATAGAAGTTAGCTAGAATATTTGTTAAGTAGCTCGGCGGTGCTAGGCTTAGGGTATCTTCTAGTCGAGCACTCCCGACTAGACCACTCTCAGGTAATATACCCAGAATCCATTGAAAGTAGTTAAAAAGCGTATAATGGTTTTGTGCAAATGTAACAGACAGATGGAAGCATGTCCGACCTCTTAAAGGACATAATTCTCGATCAATAAAAATCGACATCCTGTTTTTTGAGCAAATCTCTAAAGTTTTTAGAGCTAGAGTCACCAAATTTGACATGTAAGTTCTTAAGTAGTTTATACAGACCAAGTATCTTTCATTTTATACTTTATATTTGGTAGGAGTAAGTTCAGGGTATCACCGAGTCGACTAGAGCACTTTGTCTTTTTATTGATAATTTTAATTTTTTTTTAAATGACAATCTATAAAAC